CCCCCCCCCCCCCCCCTTTCTCACTCTCGATTGCTTGGTTTTAGGCTTGTTTTCATTTCTCTCCGACAAATCGCGCAGGGAAACACAAAACACTAACCAGTGAGAGATCCTGTGTTAAACCCCCGTTTTCTGGCTTTTCAGAAGGGAGTGTTGCTCAATTCAAGGTCAGCACATGTTTTAAAAGCTTCCAAGTGCGGCTGCTGTTCAATGCCTTTTGATTTTGTGTATCAAAGGGGCCTGAATCACAGCACTGCTGAAGGACTTGCAACAAATCAGACAGCCATACAACAGCCCAGCCCAGCTCAGACTTTCTCTGTCTTTTTAAAGGATACGGGTTAGGTCCTTGGAAATGTGTGCTCAACTCTCTTACTGTATGCAGCTTTGTTCCATAGTGAGTAATTTGGGCTTTTGTATCCTGAAATATTATCCTGCCTCTAAAGAATAAATGCCGTGGCTGTTTCACACCACATACTTTTGTTTTCCTTTTATGTTACTTAACATATAAGCAAGAAGGATGCAATGTTGATTCTAATAACATTCGGCACTTGAAAGAATCACCAAGTGTTTCTTTTTTTTAAAGCGGTTTTCTGGTGGCCGACAAATTGGCCTGTGGTTATGTTGAGTGACTAATTGTATTTTCTTTTCTGGAAACTTGTGCAAAGTTGGCAGTTTTGTGTTAACATTAATACTTTTGTTTGGCATTTGTGCCCTATACTGACCAGACCATTTTTATGCAAGTGAATTTTTTTGTTGTTGTTATAAAAAGACACTTATTTAAAGTATGGCAATAGTTTAAGGGTAAAAAAGAAGCATGGATATTACACATCCCCTTGTAGTGTATGAAAAAAAGTGCATGACGGGATTTATGTACTAGTACAGGACGTTTAAAAAATCAGATCTGTGCTGTAAAGCATGCCAGCACCTCTTTATCACTATATCTAGCAGGTAGTAAAAACAAGACCATGTTTTTTGTTTGTTTTTTTAAAAAAATGTGCATTAATGCTAACATAAATGAGTAGAGCTAGCCAGCAAACTATTTTTTTTCCTGCATATCTAACAGCTGGATGTAACTGTAAAAGTTAAACAAAAGAGATAAACAACATCAATACAATTGTTTTACATCATTAGCCTCTCAAGGCTATATATTTACAGGTGAATCTGCCATGCTGTAGTTGAAGATTCTCTCAAAACTTTAAAGTTCACAAAAGACAGCTATTAAGAAGTTCCTTTTTTGTTTCATTTTTCTTTTTTTTTATCCCTTTTCTTTCTTTCTTTCTTTCTTTTTTTTTGCAGGCAACAGTCATGGGTATAACAAACTGTCTCTTTGGAGAGGACCAAGAATTACCATTCTGTCAAAATTTGGGCTACTTGCACGCTTTATGTGTGTGTGTATGTGTCTTTAAAGGGTACTTAGTTTTCACTCCCAAATGAAAGGTCCCACCCCTTTTCCAAAACTATAAAGGAAAAAAAAATTCAAAAGCACTTAGTGTTTATCATTTTATATCTAAAGAAAAGAAAATGTGTGTGTGTGTGTGTATGTAGATGTAGAGGCATACGTGTGTACACGTACACACACACACACACACACACACACACACACACACACACACACACACACACACACACACACACACACACACACAAGTACACAAGCACACACTATGGCAGTTCAAATATGTAGGCCGTCTGGTGAGAGCTGGCATTGGTAGTGTCCGTTCTGAGACTAATCTACTGACACGAAGGGAATGTTTTTGTGGAGATTAGGGTTCTGACTGTGCCGGTTTCGGCTTCGCACAGAGGAAAACATCATGTTGCAACCGGGGACTTTGCACTTGTGCATTTCCCGCAAATGCACCGTTTTGTAGTGCACCCTCAGGGTCCCCTTGTTGCTGTACATTTTGTGGCAAATGTTGCACATAATCCCACCATTGCTCCCGGACAAGCTGTTGAACATCAGAGATCCCGACACTTCAGCCCCGAGGCCGCCAGGGAGGGCGGGGGCCTCGGCCTTGTGAGCGGACTCCCCACTGTCACTCGCCCCGTCGATGTCGTCGAGAAGGATGCCCTCGTCGCTGCCCGCGTCGGACTCTCGGGAGGAGTGGATGCTGCTGCTGGACTGCAGGCTGGAGGTGGTGCTCAGGTCCAGGACCATGTAGTCCTCCGCCATGCCGCGCCCGTACCCGTTCAGGTGCGAGTCTTCGGTGCCCGCGGGGGAGGAGGCCTCTTCCCTGACGTCCAGCCCCAGGGGGTGCTGGGCTCCATAGATCTTCATCAAAAATTCATCCCGGAGGTCCTTGCTAAGGGAGGGCTGCGAGGAGTCCAGGCCCATGTCATCGAGTTCTTTGGTCAACAGTTTCCGATGCAGATTTATGTTGGCACTGTGAAGGGGGAGAAAAAGGAGAGCATTTTAAAATGGATTCGGCTTTTCGCTAGGCATCAAATAAGCACATTCATTGCTAATTACACCATTATAAAAGCAAACATTTCCCCACATCCTCAGGATTTGGGAATAAGTGGTGGTGGGAAGTGCAATAAGGGAGCTTTTCATTAACATAATTTTTATAAGAGAGTAAAATTCTTCAATGGTAGGGTGAATGCGAACCCAGGCACCTTTTTCTCAATGATTGTTCTGTTTGCTTCGCTAGGTAGCAGCATCAGCTACAGACAATCTCATAGCAGAGGTTTTAGAACAGAAATTAAGTGGGATAAAAGAATGGGAACTTGCTGCTTGTCAAAACTGAATTATTTTAAATTGACCTAAAAACAGAAAACCTTTTTTTTTTCTACAGCAAACACTTAATTTAAAAAGGATCCACTTTAAAAACAGTATATAATCTAGGTAATTTAGGTTTAACTTAGGAAAGAATGAAATCTTGCCCCTCACCTTCCCACACTTCAAGTTTTAGGTAGGAAAAAAATTAGCTGAGTATATTAGCAATTAGAAATAGGGTTACAAACTTTTTAACATAAATCCTTTTCCCCAGATTCATTGGGATATCCGCTAAATCTAACAGTAAAACATTTTACAATTGAAAAGTTTTCAGAAGTTGCTACATTTTAGAGTTGAAAAATTTTCATTAGGCAATTCAACTTTTTAAATTTAATTATTCTTTTTAAAGTTGAAAAACAGATACTGGTTTTTGGAAAAAAATAAAACCCACCCACCTTGTTAAAAAAAATCACATTAAACAATAGGAAACCCAAAGGGACAAAAGGAATAAAATGCCCACAATAAATACAAAAAAAAAAATAAATCAAGCACAATGATAACATATGGTCTCTGTAGTGTAACAATGGAATCTGTATTTCTTAGACAAGCAAAACTTTTCCTCCACTCACTGAGTGCTTTGCTTGTGTAAAAAAAGGTAGGATTTGTCCCAGAACATCCATAGGGATGTCATGACTTCCAAAACCTGACATGTCATTACTATCTGAAAACATCGCCTTTGTATTTACACCCCCCATTTATTTTCAAAGTGCCCTTGGGCATATACCTCTCTCCACCTGCAAAAGCTCACATGTTTCACAAGCACCTAAATTGAGGGCTACCCTTCCAGAAGATAAACCAGTAAACAAATTACAGATACATAAAAGCTTCTCAATGATGGCAGAAGCTCTACATCTTGGAGAAGTCATTGTGATAATCGAAATGACCTAGAATAGCCAGCGTCAAGTTCAAAAGACCTCCTGATTACTAAATAGAAAGTATGGAAGACCCAAATGAGTCACTGCGTTTGGTGACAAGCATGGCTAATATTTTTTAGAGGTGGTTGAGAGGTATGTGCCTCAGAGACAAGAAAGGTGAGAAAGACTTCCCCACCTTTCCACACAAAACAATAAATATATATAGCACTCTGGGTTTGAAGGGGGAAAGGGGCACAGCCCTCTCCACACTGCGCTTAGGAAGGCTGAGCTTACCTTGTGATAATAAGATCAGCTTTCTAATCTTTTGCTAAATCGATCACAAAAGAAAGCAAGAATGAGAGACAGAGAGAGAGAAAGAGAGAAAGAGAGAGAGAGAGAAAACAAATTCACATTCTAGACATTTGGTTTTTAAAAAAACAAACAACAATATAGGGATTTAAAATGTTCTGATCACAAAATCATTTTCTGTCATAAGCGATCATCTCATATGCTGTCTTGATGATTTTTAGATCAGCTGCATAATCCAAAAATCATAAATGAAATTAAGATAAAACAAATTCACAGCATCAGCGTCATCCATAAATGAGTTCTACACAGATGCATGCAGGGTGCAGACAGGTGAATGATGAACAGAAGTTGTCCCCATGATCCCTGCTCTGACACAATCTCCCCATTTCTTGGTGTCAGATGGCAGATAATCTCTCCAAGTGCAGGTTGCTAAGCAGAGTGCAGGAAATGCCTACTGCGACATATGGGTATGACACCACTAGAGTTATTACAAGAATGTGGAAATAGAGTTACACTATGCACTATCACTCTGCTGACAAAACAATCTGCCAGCTATAAGCAGCTCAGGAAATCGTACACTTCTCTGTTTATTATGTTGAACACCCTCCCTCGCTTTCTTAATTTCACAAGCACACATTTTGCGACTGACTGCAATCTAGAACTCTGTGTTGCTTCTCAGACATCTGCAGTTACCACTTCCTAGATTGACTGCTGAGAACACAGCAGTCACATAAAGAAACACTGAATGAGGAAGAATAAATTAACATTGACAAAAGGACCCACTGATCACCCAGATGGACATATCTTTTCTAAAATGACTTGTGAAATTACACATCTCCACCGATATGTTACCAGGAAGAGATGTTTCTCCTCATTTCTCACTTACAGCAATAGAAATCTGTAATCTAATTAGATGATGTACCAGCCCTCAATATCTGTCAGCCAAACGATGTGCAGAAATGTGTAGACCCGCTCTGGACCTCGGCTCAACAGTGTCCCTTTTCCGCTGTCAGCAGTACTGTTGGCCTCTGCTAATATAATTACACTGACTTTTATTCAATTAAGTGCCATCCTTCGGTTTAAAAAAAAGCTACTTTATCAATTGATTCAGGTGTAATGCAATAATAAAGATGAACTCATGGCAGTGCATTAGCTCTGCTGTTCGTAACTTCAGTACATGGGTTCATTCATGGTAGTCGATTTCCATTATGCAACCACAGTTCAAGGGAATTGATTCTTCTATGTTCATTTCTTAATTTATTCCATTTTTGTTTAATAATCCTCCTAAATGCCATATGCAAAACACTTGAAGTGGGGACAGGAAGGATGAACTGTGGCAAGCCTGCTAGTTGACTCTCATGATAGTGAGCTTTTGAGATTTTCTAACAAACTCACACAGTATCGCTGGGGTAGTAAGAGGAAAAGCAAGAGAAGGAGATAGACTGAACTCCTTAGAGTACTGATCCTGTCCCTTCAGATGTTAGGTTCAGCCTCTAGAGAATGGACAAATGGCAGCACTTGCTTTTAACAAAGACCTATTGTCAGACTCTGGCATCAGCCAATCCAAACCATTAACTGTCACAAAATACTGTTTTCGTGAAGAGATACAAAGACCTGGGGCCAACAGCAACTTTCAAGTTTATTTGGATCAGAGAAGTGAAGAGGTAAACAGAAAGGGAAGATGAAAAGGCACAGAAAGAACTCATTCTATACACAGAGGATCCCCAAATGGGAGGAAAACCTCAGAGTTCTGGAAATAGGAGGGCCCCCTTGTAGAGGAAGAGGAAGCCATATGCAATTGTATAAGTGGAGGAAGGAATCCACGAAGGAACCAATTTTGAGTTCTCTAGAAAGAGAGATGGTTTATCTAGAAAACAGACTGTTTTGAATGTTTGTCTTCAGAAAAGGGGGAGAAATAATCATTAACAAAATTCCAGAATGTATTAGAACTTATATATTACGAGATTATAACTATATAAAAGCTGTTTCTACTTGCTTTGATTAGGTCAGCAATAGAGATATGAAGAGGCAAATTCCTCTCACAGAAAAAAAAATGACTGGGGTAGAGAGAGAAGATGAATTCGCCAGCAGAAATGATAAGGTTCTGGTATTATTAGGGATCTGGTCTTCATGAACACAGTAGTGCTTATTAAAAGACTAGTTCAAAACTTAGCTCCAAGATGCTCACTTTCAAGAATAACACAAACTAAATCTGATTCGACCTCCAGTCTCTTGCAGTAGACTGCTTTGCACATGGGAGATGCTGAAAAATACATTTATTTGCTTTCAATCAATATTATGCATGAGTCTTAAGAAGCTTTCCCAAAAATGCACTGTAGAAAACAATGATCCCAAGATTGGAATCATGTAACAGAGGAATATCTAAGCAAATACAATGCTAATACAGCAGAGGGTAATTCTGACCCCATTAATAATCCACTAGTGTGGTGCAAGGAACTGCTATGTAATTAGGGCGTGAAACAGTCCTATACTTTGGGCTATGCTTGGAATTACAATGTTCCCTCAGACCCTCTGCACTCTTTCCTAACCATTCCATACTTTGAGTTTACCAAAACCTCTTGAAGACTAAGATCACCCTTAAAAGCAAAAAGTAATGAGGTCTATATTATATAGGAGAGATCATAACACCAAACTTATTTTTTGAAATGCTAAGTAGAAGTACTCTGACTGAAAATAAGAAGAGAATTAAGTGGGGCAAAATTAATTTTTCTTCTGTCAATTTGGATAGCAGATTTACATTTCTGTCCAGGAATATTGTTGATTCAATATCCCACAGTATACTCAAACCTGGCATCTAGATTTTTCCAGATTGGATGTAAATGTATCTCTCTATCCCCATATATATACATATATACATATACATATATACATACACACACACACACACATATATATATATATATATGTGTGTGTGTGTGTGTGTGTGTATACTAGTATGTATATATGTATATATATGGGGATAGAGAGATACATTTACATCCAATCTGGAAAAATCTAGATGCCAGGTTTGAGTATACTGTGGGATATTGAATCAACAATATTCCTGGACAGAAATGTAAATCTGCTATCCAAATTGACAGAAGAAAAATTAATTTTGCCCCACTTAATTCTCTTCTTATCTGGCTTGCTATAACACTACCTGTTGTCCTTAACTGCTCAAAATTTTTATATTACCATTTATTAATGGTAGGATACTTACAGTCTTGTGAATTAAATGACATTTTTGATAGTATGCATTTCTGCAAAAAAAAACTAGTCTGTTTTATAGGATATTATTTAAAAATTCTCTCCAGAAGATCCCAAAACCATTCCTAGCTCAGAAAAAAAAAATTCAATGTAAAATTCTAGTGAACAACTTTTTAAAAACATACATAAAGAAGTACATATTAAATGCAAGATGTAAAAAAGCTAAGCAAATTCTTGCAAATTA